ATTTTCTTTTTTATCTTCTCTCTTAAATCAATCCAAACTATAAAATAGGATTTTTTAAAAAAAATTTCGACAAATTTTTCTTGACCACGTGAGGGAGTCTAACGTTCGAATTCCATTTTTGGGTCCATGATACTGGCTGGCCCAATTCTATTGGATAGTGGGCTTTCCAATAATTTGTTTGGGAATTGGCATTGTTGAGCAATTTTTAATATTAGAAAATAAAGAAATTCATCCATAAATTAAAATTAAGAAAATATACTTATGACGGTTTAACAACACAACAATGGATGCAAAGCTCTTTCTCTCCGTCTTCCTCCGTCGGGTCAAAGCTCCTCCATGCACCGGAGGCCACCGCCACCATGTCAAATATGTAGGCATTGACACTGTTCATGATATCTCCCCTGTCGGGGGTGATAATATTGAGACAACTTTTTTGTCTTTACTTTTTTATATAACTTTCACAGCTCATTAAATTAGTGGATGCATTCAATATCACTGATTTTACATGAATTAAAAAATCAATCATTATTATAATGACACGTCAAGTTGTACCGTTTCCCCCTCCCCTGCAATCCGAAACCCTGCCAAGAAATACAATTGGCACGTCCAGCTGCCACATCCCTGCCACGAGTTCCCACTTTCCCGCCATTGTATCGAACAGCTCAGCGGAGCTCCGCTCCTTGATGAGCATAATCATCAAGTCCGATTCCTTTCTTTCCACAAACCCGCTTACCACGTGGATTTTCCCTTGCCATGTCACCCCGCCACACTTGTAACCTCATGGTGCTCATGTTAGGCAAGGGAGTCCACATGTCAACGGCAGGATCATACATCTCAGCTGACGAGATTCCCCTTCCACTGGCCAGGTCAGACTTGCCCACTGCCACGTAGATTTCGTTGTCACAAACAGTGCAAGCAAATTCGTACCGTGGTATTCCCAATGGTGCACATTTGGACCATTGCCCTGATCGAACGTTACACCGGAGTACCACTGGCGACACCTCAACACTAAAATCCACAAAATCGCTGCATTCAGCGAAAGTACAGAGCTTTCGCTTGTTACCGATGCGGCCACCAATTATGTAAACGGACTCTCTTTGGGAGACCATGGCAAATCCATTAGGACATGGTTATCAATTATTTCCGGAATAGGGCAAACGTGACCCGATTTGTTGTTCGAGGGATCATAGCACTCTAACTGGTTGGAGACACCCTGTTCCTTAGGACAGAAGGAGGCGTAGACTCGATAAGAGGATGGGTTGAATTCCCGTAATAATGGTGGTGTGGTGGGTAGTGGCATGGAGTGGATTGAACCCATTGAAGTGATGGTGGGTGAGGGCGGAGGAGAGGCTGCTCCTTTGGTTTGTGCTAATGTCAAATGGGGAGTTCAATGTATAAGATTGGAGTAAATTATAGAGAAAGGGTAGCGGATAAAACAACAAAGGATAGGTTGCAAGCATCGACTAAGAATTGGGGATGAAGAGTTCCTAGGGGGACAAAATCTAGAGTTTTCTTGTTGATTGACGAAAAAAATTTAATAGAATGCTTTGGTGTGTCATTGTCTTTTAGTATTAATTTCTTAATTTTCAGTAATTACATTGATTTCCAACTAATTTAAAATCAAATCACATTAAACCTCATAAGGTGAAAACCCTCCCTCCCACTCGGACATGTTTTGGTGTGTTATCGTCACTTACATTGTTGTTAATGATATTAGATGGCAGATTGACGAGGATTACAAAGATGAAAAATATGAGGAGAATCAGATATAATAATGCTGTTTTACATTTTCGACTCAAGTTGGATTGCGATAAATTGGCCATTAATTTTGGAAGAGAAGACCTCATTTGAGGTAACCTTCCATTATCAATAATTGTAAATGGTCCAATCCACGTTAGGTTGGACTGTATAATACTTTTCCTGATAAGATATTTATTTGCACTCTTATGCTTAAAGCCTAACATGTGACTCGAGAGCTCTACCGCTGGACCAAAGGTACGCAAAGAATCCAGTGGTCAACCTCATGCTCTCAGCAATGACCTCATCCTGAGATAAATGGACCATTAGAGAAAAAAGAGGGAAGGATTTCATGAATCCCGGTGGCAGAATCTGACCCAATGAAACTGGACCACCAGTGGCAAAGGGAGGGGGGGAGACGCCAAGACTAGAGACAAAGATTGGGTTAGTTGGCATAAGAATGACGTATCATATGGAATGGAATCCTCACCAGTTCCATTCTCAGAAGAGTTAGAGGAAATGAGCGAGTGTGCTGCAGTGCTAAAAGAAAAAGTCGTAAGATTAAGGTGGGAAGCTGAAAACGAGACAAAATGGAAATTTGAGAGAGGGAATATGGAAAAGTGAAGTGGCTTTGCAGATGAAGACAACAAAAAAGAGATAGGGGAAGAAAGTAAGCAAAAGAACTACATTGCCTCACATTGACATTGGGGACAAACGACTGATTTGATTTATCACCGCAACCAAATCGCCGATTTTTTCAAACCCACTGGCCAAAACCCGTTTGATGAAAAACGGACTTTGACGAACTAACCAGTGAAACTACCAAGTAAATCATGCATCAAAAGAATCTTTATGTAACATAATGCATGGATCAATTGAGAAGCTTAAGAAAGTTATATGAAATTCAAAAGTGAGAATAGTATTATTACTCGTGTCTGCTTTGTCTAACCTTGAGATCCCGGCAAACAAGCTTTTAGCCTTCAAGAGGGTCCTTCTCGTATGAAACATCCAGAGTGTAAACCATAGGTGGACCTTTATTCCGATATTCATAATCCTCACCAGAGTTTTCCATGCTTCTCCCAAAAATAAAAGACTTCGTCCCCATGGTGGTGAAAGGCATCAAACCAAAAGCTCTGGCTGTTTTGATCTCCCTGGCGATCTTCCTCTGAGCCTTGGCACTAATGCCGGTCTATATAATAAGTAAACAGATATTGTTAAGGAAATAAAAGGGTTGATATTACAAACGTAATGGAGTTTGCACTTGAAATTACCTGGCTTCGCTTTTTAAGAATTCCAGCCTCTGTTATGAAGTTTGCCAGGAATCGTACATTCTGCCCAGTGTAATGCATTTGATGTGATTAGAAGTATGTTAACAAAATCATAAAGGGGTCGAACTAGAATGGATTTGCATTCAAAGTAAATGCTCCTTGCAAATTACTTGGCTATAGCTAAATCCTAGCAAGACTCAAGAAAGATCCAAACTTAGCCAACAAGTAGACTGTAGACCAGAAAAGAAATTGGAGGTCTTTCATGTCAAATTTACCCACTATCATTTTTTTCTTCTTTTTGAGTTCTTTCTCCCAACCTTATATGCAGAATAAAAAAATTACAAAAAATACTTTTTATTTTAAATTCTAATACGCTTACCCTGAAATCTGCTCTTCTCAGAGCTTCCTCTGTACTGACTTTAAACTCCTCCCTCCGTCTCCTAGGTTTTTCTATAAAAGGCCTTCTTACATCAAGATCCTGCATAACACAAGCAATATATCATAAATGGTTTGTAGACAGAACACAGAAAGCAGAATCACAGAGTAAATTGAATGAAAAGTTATCTTGCTAAAACAAAATTATTTCTATACGATTTGTACCAGATTAAATGTTGAGACAAGAGGATGCCCGGGAATTTTATTAACAATTTCTCATCTATTGCAGGTTGGTTAATCTTCCTAATCTTAAGTGTACCATCTACATAAATAATAAATCATGAATATAATTGAGTAATGCTAATGTAATATGTTGAAAGCTAATTAAAAACAAAGCTCTGCAACAGCAAAAGTTATTGGCTTTATCATTGATAACATAAACTAAAACAGCAGGAGATAAATTCAAGAACATAGAAATGCACTTGGTATTTTAGTTTCTAAAAACTGTCTGACTATGGATTATGATAGATGGTGCAATCTTAGACATTGCCACATATAAAGGGGTTTACAGACTCCACACAACAATCAAGAGCATTAGCACCTGCGTTCTTAAAAACTTTTAGTAATATATTACAGCATGTCATTACCTATAAAGGAGAATCAAGTATCATTTCATCCTTCAAAAGTATAGCCAATTTATAATCCAAACAACACGTAGGTGCAAGATATCAAATGGGAAAAATTGATTCTCCTTCTACATCTCATTATTTCCAAAATGCTCTAATGCAGAACAACAGCTTGCTAAATACAGAGGTATTATTAGCTCTCATAATACACACCTTAATGTCATATTCGTCAGGTTGATCTTCCAGCTCTTCATAAGGATCTTGAGGATGAAACGAAAATTCCTCCCCATCTCGTAATTCTACTTCATATTCAAATTCATCTTCATCTCCAACCCCCTTCGCTATTTGATCATCATCCATTTCAAAGTATGTGGCTGCATCCTTCAACTTCTCCTCCATTCCATCAGATAATGTGCTAAAAGTCTCATCTAGGTCATCCTCAAAATCATCCTCATAGTCATTTACTCTGGTTGGTCTCCAACCACCTCGAGTCCTCTCAAGCCTGAAATCATCCCCAAAACTATATCTTCTGGTTGGTCTCCAACCACCTCGAGCGCTCTCAAGCTTATCGAGTTTTCGGAAAAAGGGATCAGCGTTGGAGCCATTCCCAGAGCCAGAGCCAGAGCCAGAGCCAGAGCCACCAAATATGCGCCGCTCAAATTCATCGGCAGGCTCCAATGAGTTAGAATTTTGGTTCCAGTTACTCCCATTACCTGTTTAAGTAGAGAAATTCATAGATATAAAATCTAGAATTTCCAAATGCAGCTACAAAGATTGTAACAAAAATTAAAAAAAAAAAAAAATTGAATCAAAATGAGAAACGAATCACCTGAAAATGAACTTGTAGAGAGGTATCTGACTCCATGAGCATGTCGAAATGGGTGTGATAAGCCACCGTAGAGTGACCGCAACATAACTCCAGAAATTTTCACTTTTGCAAAACTAATAGCGGACAAAGATCGACCGGCGAGATCAGACTCAAACAGGGGAGAGAAATCGGTTATGGCGGAGCATGGGTGAGGGGATCGACGGTGGGAGAACTTAGGTAGATAAGGGAGACGGCCGTGAGGGAATCGCGACGGCGAGAGGCGGCGGAAGTTTCTCAGATTAGTTTTAGGGTTTATGTTTTCTATTTTGGGCCGGCCTTTTTTTTGAGGCCGCCTCAAATTCATAATAATATTATTATAGGTTTTTTATCTTAATTTCTTAAATATATATAAAAAATATAAAAATTAATATCAATTTTAATATTGATGTTAAGGGAGACGGCCGTGAGGGAATCGCGACGGCGAGAGGCGGCGGGAGTTTCTCAGATTAGTTTTAGGGTTTATGTTTTCTATTTTGGGCCGGCC